AGGGTCAGTTCACATTAGGGAAGTCAGCTGACACCACTAAGGGAATTATAGCAACTAACCTGAAAATTCAGTTATGAAAGTCATCACAACATCACTGGAAGCAATCAGCACTGCCCCAGGAGATGAAAACTCTGTTCATTAGCTTTATGGAGTGTCGTAACTCCCGAGCAAAAATCTCCGTAAAGAATAAACCCTCTAACCAGAACAGCTTGACAACCTAACTCATCAGTGCTGTTTACTGTAATCCTCCTGCATTGTGAATTTATCCACTGTATAGGAACCTCTCCCATTGCCTCCCACCACACTCCCTCTCCATCACTCTGCACACTCCCACAGCCTCCTAGGCAAGCGAGTGGAGTAGGTCACATTTCCCTGCACTTGAGGCTGCTGTCCAGCCCAGCTGCTGCTGCTCTCTGCCAGCCCCCATGGCCCTTCCAGCTTGGAGGGTGCCCAAGCCCAAGGAGCAATCAGGAGTGAGCCTGCAGTTAAGCTCTCAGAAAGTGTCCAAAGGAAGGCAATGAAGATGGTGCAGGGCCTTGAGGGGAAGCTGCATGAGGAGTGGCTGAGGGCACTTGGTCTGCTCAGCCTGGAGGAGACTGAGGGGAGACCTCATTGCAGTTACAACTGCAGGGGGGGCAGCTGTCACAAGACAAGGGGCAGGCACTGATCTCTTCCCTGTGGTGATCAGTGACAGGACCTTGAGGGAATGGCCTGAAGTTGTGCCAGGAGAGGCTTAGATCAGATATTAGAAAAAGGTTCTTCCCCCAGAGGTGGTTGGGCACTGGAACAGGCTCCCCAGGGCAGTGGTCACAGCATCAAGCCTGACAGAGTTCAAGAAGTGTTTGGACAATGCTCTCAGGCACATGGTGTGACTCTTGGGGACAGTCCTGAGCGGACCTAAGTGCTGGACTAGAAGATCCTTGTGGGTCCCTTCCAATTTAGCATACTCTGTGATTCTGTGAAGTGATGCCCACCCCAATTTATCCAGGGGGGTTAGTGGGGAAGTACCATCCAGCAGATGAGCTGAACTACACTCCCATTCGATCTTGGGCAAAGCACTCACCTATCTTTGTCCCTGCTCACCCCTTATCCTTACTGTGTGGTGTATTTAAGCTGCAATCTCCTGGGAGAAGGGACTGTCTCTTGCTGGATGCACAGACAGTCACTGGCACTTATGGACCCCTGTAGTGAAGGGCGTCCAACTCGCACTCTATTTTAAACAACATTTTTGCCTCTTTGAATCTTGAAAGGTCCCAAATCTCTGCAGTACAGCCACCCTTTCTTGACTACTTTTTAATGTTGAAAATAAATTGGCCACAGGGGGGGGGAACACCACTTCTCCAACAGGCTCGGTACCTCTGGGATTATTTCCAAGTGGTTTGAGGCTTACAGCTCTCCAGAGGGGAAGGTGCAGAAGTGTTCTTTCTGCACATCTGCCTCTCAGATGGCAGCACCATTATCTTCTGCATAACACCACAGTCCTATAATGTTCTGCCATCCCAGTGACAATTAATGGCCTATTTTTCTGCCCTGGCTGTGTATCTTCTTACCTACTGCAGACAAAGGACAGTGCTACAGGGGTGTTTTGCAAAATGACCAAAACAATTAGGCTTCAGAAACTTCCCTGGTAGATGGATTAGGAGCTAGGCTTTACCCAGTCATCATGACAGGGGATGCATTTAAGGTTGCATGTCACACCTCTGGTATGTCACATCAGTCAGGATCTCTGGCTGCCTCCACCTGTGCAGCAGATCCTGTACCTGCCACATCGCCCCTTTCCAGTCAGATGTCTTTGCAGCTCCTCCCTGAGCTGGACAACAACAGTGGCAACTGTCTGCTGCTCTGTGACCCAGCACCACAAACCTGCTCATCACACTCATTTGTGTCACTAAATACTACGTGAACCAATGTCACAGGCACAGAGTGAGCACCAGCCACCACTTCTGCTTGAAGGTGAGGATATCTGGTAAACAAACAAAGCCTCATAAAGTCTTGTGTGGTTGCCAGAGAAGGAGAAAGCAGCACTGTAAAATGACTCCTCAGAACTCAAGGATCACCCCCAGTTCCCTGTGAATCAGTGATGCACTGCTCACAAATACAGATTTAGACGTCTTACCTCTACACAAACACACTAGGAAAGTATGTAATATGTAAAAGATCTGTATGAAGAGGGGCCCAAGCCTCTCATAATATCCCCTGCACAAACTCTGAGTACAAGATGATATCCTGGACTTGATGATCTTAGAGGTCTCTTCCACTCTAAATGACTCTATGATTCTATAAAAAAGCAAGGGAAAAAAAAGTGAAGAGTAAATGTATGCGGCAACTAGGACAGCCTTGGAGGACTGGGAGACCTCTGCAGGCTCCAGAGGGAAGTCCTTTACTGCAGTGAGGACTGACAGGACTGGCTGAAGCCGCTCTCAGTTTCTCACAGCATTATTTAATTCAGATTAAAGCCCTGGAAAGGGATATGTCCACAGACTGCAGTGACTATGATCCCTTCAATAAATGCAGCAGATTTTAGCCTACTTCAAAATACATTTTTTGATCTATTCTGGAGAATAATTACCAGTTGCAGACACACATATCTGCAAAACCTACCTTCTTTTGTGTTTCTCTTTTCAACTCAGCTCACAGTAGCAGCAAACTTTATGGCAGCCTCTCTTGTAAACACAGAGAGAAGAAATAGCGTGGTTACCTTGTAAAACCTGCACAGGAGCTGAACAGGTAAAGGAAACAGGTTAAAACAGTGTATCCTCAGAGCACAGAAGCTCTCCTTCCTCAAAGGAGGTATCCCTGCCTTCAACCATCCCATGCAGAAAGGCCACACAGCAAGCAGTGACAAACCTGAGAAGTGGGCCCATAGGATTCTCATGTGGTTTAACAAGACCAAGTGCAAGGTGCCACACCTGGGTTGGGATACAGGCCGGGGGATGAACAGATCCAGAGTCCTGCAGAGAAGCACTTGGGGGTTCTGATGGATCAGAGGTTGGACATGAGCCGGCAACATGCACTTGAAGCCCAGAAAGCAAATTGTGTCCTGGGCTGCATCAAAAGCAGAGTGGGCAGCAGGTCACGGGAGGGGATTCTGCCCCTCTGTGTCCAGCTCTGGGGTCCTCAGCAAGGAAGGACATCGACCTGTTGCAGCGAGTCCAGAGGAGGACACCAAGATGATTAGAGGGATAGAGCACCTCTCCTATGAGGAAAAGCTAAGAGAATTGGGATTGTTCAGACTGGAAAACAAAAGGCTTCGGGGTGACCTAAATGCAACCTTTCAGTACCTGAAGGGAGACAAGCTAAGTCGGAGAAGGACTATGTACAAGAGCCTGGAGTGACAGGACAAGAGGGAATGGATTCAAACTGAAAGAGAGTTGGTTTAGAATAGATATTAGAATGAAATTCTTCTCTGCTCAGCACCAGATGGATTGGTGAGTTGCTTCTTGCAGGCTGGGGATCCAATGGCAGTTTGAAACATCTCTCACTGATTAAGTACATGAACAGGTCTTTAAATACAGAATGACCCAGGTACTTCTTACTACAACCAGTATAAGTAACAGAACCCCCCTCTTTTTCTGAGGGCCGCATGGGGAAATTGGGCCAAAAATATTAAGCTTAAAACACTCTCAGGGGCATGTATGACCTTTAATAGCTAGATTTTAATGGAGTTTCTATGAGCATATAAAGGTGTTACATGTTAAGTTAAACCCATGAGATGCCCAAGATACAGCTGATGAAAACTAAGAGCTCTGTCTCCAGACTTCTGGGTGCTTTTCTGTTCTCCAATGGAAAGGACACAGAACAGAGACCCCACTGTACAAGAAGGAGTATATCTCTCTAAACAAAAATAACAGCAGGTTTACTTGCCTTTGTCAAATAAGAGCACCCTTCTTTGGGATACAGCAACTATGTCAAAATACAACACAATAACCTACATGTTTGTGTATGTATGTACACTTATATACGCACACATCTCCCCAAACACAAACATTTAAGGCACCTGCTGTTCATGCTCCAAAACAGCTGATTTATCTGCAAAACCTAACAAAAAAAGCTTGTTTTAACCCTAAACAGGTCACCTATTCATAACTGCAGTCATTCCACCATACGCATACACGTACAATTTCACAGCCCTTTGAGTTTTAAATTCCTTTGTTAAGCCCTGCCTTTATTTAGATTGTAAAAATCTTTGTGGCAGTAGCTGCTTTTCTTCTCCATAAGTGCCCAGTCCACTTCTGGCATCTACAAAATAACTCGTGGAGATGGAAACACTGGGTGAGTGTTTCCGAAGCTCTGAGCACACCCTCTTTCAGTGCAGTGCTTGAGAGGAAAAGGAAAAAATATCACTTGCTGAAACACTGCTTTATACAGCTCACTGGAGACCTGCCTCAATCTGATAACAACCCTTCCCTACCCCACACAAAGCTGGCAGGGACACCTTAATATTGACAACCACAAATCGCGTGCTTGAGTTGCTGTTAATTGTTTATGGACTGAACAATCATCATTTCCTGAAGAAAGAGAGCAGAGATTTCAGGCCTCACAATAAAGCTCTGTATGCCCTCTTTTTAATAGCCTCTCTTTAACTTTATGAAAACTGCTCTTGTTTGGATTTGCCATTCTCCCAACAGCTTTAGCATTCAAAATGTTTTTTAGTTTGGGAAAACCAGGTAAAAAATGATCGGAAATACATAACAGTAAATCATTTTCCTCAGGCAAACTGAATAAAATAGAAGAAAAAAGTCAAACAAGCTTAGTTTTTCATAGCATGACAGGAACAGAAGTCAAGATTAGTTTAAAAAACGATCCTTAGGCAGGCAAAAAGACAGAGCCACATCAAAGACAACAGAGCCATACTGATTTCTCTCCTTTTAAGCGTTACCTAACGGTTTCTTTTAGGGGGTTTTGTGTTTTTTAAGATGGAGCTCCTCTTTTAAGACAAATCTTAAAAACAAACAGGAAACTGCTCATATCAACAGAAACAATAAAGCACTGGCACAAACCTGTGTTTCCCTGGATGTCCTCTCCCTTGGCTAATGCCAGGTAAGAGAGCAGAGCGCAGTTATTGTCCTGACCAGGTGCAGGCGGCTGCTGCAGGGACGTGCCTGTGAAGACCACTCCCCAGTTCACATGGCTGATATCAGAGCGTGACCTGTTGTGTCCTGGTTTGAACCTGGAGGCTTCCTCATTCTGCACCAGGATGTCATTCACTGAGCGAGGCCTGTCTCTCCTCCGCTGGCAGATCCTGAAGATGTTAAAAGCTGTGGTCTCTCCTTCCCCTGCCCAAGCAAGGTTGTCAGCAGTTGTTCCCCTCTGCACCATGTGCTGGTCTTTGGCAGGAAATGCTGTCTGAGCTTTGGTTTCCAAGAGGCCATTTTTGCAGTGATCCCAGATGAGGCTACTTTTGGCTAAGGAGGCGACATTTCTCAGATTCCTGCTCTCTGTTATATGATCAAACACCTCGTGCCCAACCAGCTCAGGGACCTCCTGCACGCCATACACCTCAGAGGGCTGCACAATCTTTTCAAGCTTAGTATCGAAACTATTGAAAAAGTCTTCAGTCACTTCCAAGGCAGGGCTGATGTCATCAACTTCAAGAGCCTCCATATCCTGTGCTGCCGGTGGGCCCGAGGTGTTGTGATGCGTTAAGAGGATACCACATCAATATCGAGACAAAGAGCTGCTTCACATCTGTCCTTGGCACTCCACTAACTCAGTGGTGGTGGGGCAAGTGCGATCCCCAACCACAATCTGTGGTGGTAGGAGGTAACCAAATCAACCTGTCTTCAGATGAAAGACCAACATGCACTGATCAAGTGGGCTACGGCCCCTCTATAAATTAAACTCATAGCGATGAAGAGTACCTGTAAAGCAAAGCAAAACATCACGTCAGTAAGGAACTTTTCTCAGATAAATATGTTTAATCACATCACTCCTTTCACAGTCACAGTCCTCTTCATTTAACTTCCTCTTTCAACTGACACAAACATTATTGCGTATGAAGAAACCCTTTGTGGTTTCTGTGGTTCACTGTGTGTGAACTCTGTGTATAATCACTTCTGGAACTGGAACCTGCAGAGAGCAGGATGGGGCACCAGATGACGGGAGACCAAAGTGATACCATTTATTAACCAAGCTTCAGAAAGCTGCATTGAGAGGCAGTACTGACTAACATCACAAATGCAGCCACCTAGGGAATGCTTCATACAGTTTCCCTTGGGGTTCCAAAAAAAGTTAGGAAATTAAGTGCTAGTAAAATAGGCCAACTAGCCTCAAATAGTTTGCCTTTTGTCCTAGATTGCTTGCACTACCGATTTTAGGAGGCCAAGATGAATTTAACAGCAACTACTTTGCCTACCTGTCTGCATGAACAAAACTGTGATATTTGCCAAATAAATCAATTCTATGAGGGTGCTGCAGAGCACTGCACATAGTTTTTCTTAGAATATCAGTGGGAAGCTAAGTGAAACCATGTGGCAACCTAAGTCCCAAAAAGACAATGCATCCTACAAGCAAAACAAAATATACCATATCCTGCACTGTTGCAAGTCCACAGATCTATACTTCCAAGCTGTTGACTCACTAGGCAAAACCTAAGAACAGCAAGGAGCTTTAAGACTAGAACTATTGCAGAGCTGCATTGACCATCTGAGCTTACACCTATGAGGAGGAAGGAAGGGGGTTCAATTCCCTGTTGTGCAACAAGAGGGTGTCTCATTGCTGACTTCTTGTCACACCAAGCCTGCTGCCTTCTGACCTCTCCCTCTTGAAGCTCCATCCACAGTGCTGCCACGCTCAAGGGAAGTGCATTGCAGGGATATCTAAGCTGATGTAATCTGTCAAATGTCTGCAAGTCCTTGGACCTGGAGACTGGGCATTTGTGCTAGAAGGAAAACGGCCCTCTCACCTGCCAGGGCAAACCACAGTACCCAGAGCCTGCACACGCAGCCTAAAGTCAGAGTTTTGACCACATCAGCTCAAGTCCTAGAAGCAGCAAAGCTACTTTAGCTCAGAGCTCTGCCTAGGTTAATACGCTCTTAACAGAACTAATTAGCCTGGGCTGGGCTGATAATTAGCAGCTCATTAGCTTGTGAATGCTGCTGAAGTGCTACCAGGACGGACCCATGAAGATTTACACTCAGCAGGAAAAAACATCTATTAAAGAGCATCAAACACAGATAATACTTCTATTTAAGATTCTTTTTTTTTTTTATTCCAGAACAGTCTATTAGCCTAACTTCTATAAGGAAGCCTGTTTAAATAGGCACCCTATCCTGCAGCATGCCAGAGGAAGGAGGCCAGCAGCGCCCCAAGAAGGGGGCATAGAATCCTGTAGCAGAAACCAACCCCCCACCCCAAATCCCCTGCTGGCTTCCTCCCATCCCTGCTTCTGTTGTGGCCAGCCATGACACAGCTGTGCTCAAAAGCAGCAGCTCACTCTCTCTCCTAACAGATCTGCAGTTCAGAATACGATCTCCACAAAGACACTCCAAGTAAATAACTTTCAAAAGCAATTACTAATCACAATCACAACCCTGGAAACGCCAAGCCTTTACACTGAGATCTTTCTCCCCCTAACTCTTTGCAAGGATTCACTTTGTTAGGTTCATAATGAACCAGGATCAGCTTCAACAAGTAAACGTAGAGTAAGACTCTGAAGGTAGAGCCAAAACCACAACCATAGGGCTGAGCAATACAGATCTGGATTTAGTTCAAATGAGAACAGTATGGGAATGGACTCTTTGCAAAGCTGTGCAACTGTGCCAGTTGACAGCAACAGGAAATAAAGTCATCCTGGGCAGATCTGCATTATCAGGTCTATGCAGAATGGAGCTCACTCCTGAAGGTCATTCCTGCCAGCAGCGCCAGAACAGTGTTCTGCTCCCTGGTACCACAGAGCTCCAGGAACAGGCTAAGTCCAGTGTCACATGAGACCTTCTGGAGCAGCAATCACTCCAGAAGGGAGTGATGCTGAATGCCACTGAAGCATTCCAGTGGTAGCAGAGACCATGTTGCTCTGTTCTTTATTTTAAATCATCAGGAAAGGTGGAAAGCAAGGGGGAAAATTCACACTTACATTTAACGTGTTCATTTCTAAATGCTGGAAGCTTCAAGTGGCTGCATGTTTCTCTGGATCCTGTGAGACTGAAGCTATCCAGCAGCCAAGTACGGTGATGCCAAACTAAACTGATCTCATATCCAGTAGGATGCTGAATCACAAGGTCATGAGAACATGACAAGCCCCTGCATCACATGGTTCACAGACTGTAGCATTCATACCTTCCAAAGTAGTCTGTCTGCCCTGCTCAATAAAGATGTGAAAGGTGACCTCAATGGTGGCAGGATCATCCTTGACTACACTACCAGAAGAGTTGTGCCAGTAATTCCCACTAGAGGTGGGATTCTGCAATTACATATCCTCCATAAACACAATTTGGTGTCTTCTGACAGAGGCATTCAACAAAAATTTAATTCTGATGTCTGCATGGATTTGGTGCCAAATGAAAGCAAACTTTACCATGGCAAGGTCCATAAGAATCCCCTTCAGAAGGGAAAGCAGTGCAAACCACTTCCTTCGTGTAAAGGGGTGAAAAAGGCAAACAATGGGATAAGTTAAACTCCTTTTAAGTGACTATAAAATGTATTGCCTTAGGTATTGCTTCTTGAAACACCTGAGATTACCCAAAAACATTCAGTCTAAGGCAGTGAATAAGAGAGGAAGAGAGAAGCTATTAAGGACTGCTGAAGCTATAAGGAACTATAAGGACAGGTTTGTGCTCATCCAGGCCCCTGGGAACTAGCCTTACTGAAAAAAACCTGAAGGAACGTGCCACATTGTACTCAGGAAAAACTGCTGGACACAGGGACTGCAGAAGCTGAAAAACAGCTTTTCTGTAGGTCTGCCTAGGAGTGATACAATTTTCATTCATGAACATGCAGCAAAATTAAATGTGCATTTACAACATGAGTAAAGTCTTTACTATCCCAAGTTTATAGTGGCCCCATTACTCACACGGCAGAGGCAAACAGCAAGGATTACTGGCCATGGCACATGAGACACTGAAGTTCGGTTTAGTCAAGATCCTTAGAGAAGCCACACGGACCTAACCTAGGTGACAGCACAGTCTGACAGCAAAGAAAAACCAGGGATGGCAAATGCCAAGGAACTGCAAAAGATCATTTAACTTCCTGATGTGTTTTTCTGGATCCTCATGGGCCAAGGAAAATATCCATGCATTGCATGGCAAAATTTTAAAAGCGCAGAAAACGTAAGGGTAGAAAGTAATCTTGCAGGCGACATGTACCACCACAACAGGCACCCACTGTGTACCCCCAACTTACATATCATGCACAGGACTGTTCATTCAAGCTCAGGCAGGAGGGAAAGCTAGAACCAGCATGTGCTTAGGAACCAGTGACTGAAGAGATCCATTTAGCTCACCAATCCATCAAAAAAGTATATTTAAAAGAAACAGCTTTCTGTTTGGTTTTCTAAGGAAACAGTTTGTGCAACCATCCTGCAATCAGCCAGTTATTCTCCCTCTGTCTCTTTCTTTTGAACTGCACAGTAACTTCAATTAGATGTGACAAAGTAGTAGTGTCCTTAAAGATGTGGTTCTTAAACTGCTGTTCAACACTGGACAGGACACAAGTCCAAAGTTACCCTGCTGCTAAGAGAGAAGCAGGCAAAACTCAGTCCCTTACCCTTTCTAGGAGCCCAGTTCCACCACATGGATCTCTCTAAACTAGCCACGGCACAACTGACTAATGTGAGATGGATCTGAAAACACGGGGAAACAGAGGGGGAAAGCAGGAACAAAGAATAGGAGGCATCACCCAACTTGATAAGTGATCTTGTTGGTTTTGGTACTCAAAGGACTTCCTCTTCAGTACACAGGTAAGAGAGATGTACAACACAACAGATAAATACGGGCTTCCCCCTTTCTCTTGTATTTGGAGAGAAAATTAGAAAGCAACAATCAATGATGTTCACAAGCAAAGTGTTCTGGAGGAAACACATAAACAATAGGAGCTCTCAGCAAGCAAAAGACAGCAAAAGACAGGTAATATTAAAAGTTCCCCAAGTCTTGTTGATTCTTAATGACTCTTGGGCTCAAATTCCTGGCAAAGATTTGGGTTTCTGAGAATTTTATCTCAAGAGCACAAGAGGAGTTTTACAAGTTACCTGTAATCAAATGGAGAGCAGGGGAGCCTCAGCCACCGCAGAGCTTGCCCTATCCCCTTCTCAACACCCTGGAACCTGCTGTGGGAACCAGCTCTGCTTATCTCACGCTGCTTTACAACTCTGGGCTGAAACAGGCTCCAATGCCAACAAGGAAAATAGGAGAAATTCAATTGGGTAACAACTTGATAGCAGAGCAAATTCAAGCAGCTTCAGGGACATTTCTTCTGTTACATTGCAGGCCTGGGCCACTACAGTCCAGTTTATGAGCTGTGACAAACCAGGTCTGAAGAACAGGTCATCTGTAGAAAAGATGGAGGCACAGCTGTATTTAAATACAATCCACCAGGGCTGGAGCACATAGTACCTAATGAGCTTTTCTGCCTGAGTCTCAGCAACCTCAGACAGTGACCTGAATGTCTTCCAGTGGTATCTTGAATAATCACAGCTTACTGGTTTTGCCACTACAAGGATTTCTGACTTGTTCTGTAGGTCACATCAGCCAAATAATGCCCAGAATCTAAAGAGCACACACCTAGGTCAAGGACAGTCCCTAAAAAACAGGCTCTGCTGTGCAGAGTCTCTGAAAAAAAAAAAAATGAAGCTGAAGACTTAGTTGCTACCTCCTAGTTAGGAAGTTGAGCTGTATTTGTCACGTGGGCCCACCTGAGTGGACAGAGGAGAGAATGAGGATGCACAGATGGCTGACTGTCACACACACAGGCTTTACCATTGCCTGTGCAGTTCTGCACATCGCTGGCACTGACTGCTTGCACAAAGAGCTGAAGAGCTGTCAGGGCAGGTACTGCAGAGCACCCACTTTCCAGCACCCCCCTGCTGTAACTAGATGACAGATGATGCTTTCTCTATTTACAGTATAGCAAAGCCTACCCTGCAAACATTCAGATGTAATCAAAGAACAGTCCTGTTCACTTACACACCGAGTGCTTACAAATCCCAGGCAATACAGTGGCCAGTTCTCTGAGCAGTGACTGAAAACTGTACTCCTGCTTGCCTCTCAGACTCATCTTGGAGCTATCACATTCTCTTGAGTCCTGGCTGTATTTTTTCCCTCAGAACAAGACAAGCTTTCTCCCAGAGTGATTCCGAAACCCCAGGTGACCTACTGCTGTGTACATCAAGTGAGCAGCAGAGCACACAAGCTTGCTGGATTCATCATTAAATGGCTGGATTAAATCTACAATGCATTGCAAGGAATTAAAAATTACAAGAAACTTTTCATATACAGGAGACGACAGTTTCCAAGACGTTGCCATATGATAGTCACTGGTTGGTTCAACATGACCTGGATAATTGTCTTGAGATCACATATTTAAAGCCTGTCTTCAAATGCCTCTTCCCCCAACAGACAAACCAAAATTATTTACTTAAAATTTTCAGAATATCCCAACTTTAAAGTGTCTCACAAAAATATCTTTTGACTGACATTCCTGCACAAACCCACCAACAATATTTAGGAAAGGCTCAAAAGAACTGGAGTAGGAAACTTTCTGGTCAGGAAAGGGCCAGGCTCTAGAGAGGGTAACTGTGAACTTAAGCATAACCATTTCCATGTTGCAAACCCCCCGTTTGCCACAGTCTCGTTTCCCTAAAGATGAAATTGAGTGCCAACATTTATCAGTGAGGAAGAGCTCCCACATCCTGTCTGCTAGACCCAGGGAGAGGCAAAGAGCAGGAAGAGCTGCAATTAACTTGGTGCCTAATTACAGTCAAGCTAAAAGACAGCAGTGATCTCTCTTCTACAGTACAGAAAACAAACAAAAAAATAAACCACTGAGAAACGATGAATTGAAGAAAGAGGTGGAACCAGGGAAGAAGAATAACACCACATTCTGCGAGGGGAAGCAGACCCTTAGTGAGGATACATGAGTCTCGCTCTGTGAAGCTCAGATTTTCCCCAGCTGCTGATCTGACCACTGCCTGTAACAAGGAAGCATCCCCCCCATGTGAGGAACTAACACATCACAGCTATAGAACAGCTCATCCAGTGATGAGCACACAGCAACGAATAATAAACAGTACTTAGGGTATACATTAATTTTAACTGCACTTTGGAAAGAGTGATTAAAACACAAGAAACACTAAGATGAATAGTCCACAACAGCTGCACCAGAGCAGTGTGAGTCCAGAGGGTGAGAAGGTGGAGGAACATGGACCACAGGAAGCTTTTCTTTTCCAGAAACTTAGGGCTGTACAGCTCTCCAGAGATCTTTATCGCTGACTCCTTTGCCTTGAAGCCATCTGACACACATCCCTTCTGGCTGGGGAGCACCCTCAAGTAATGAAGGGCTGTATCACTTCCTGTGGCTGAGTAATCATTTGAAATCTCAGCAGCTGCACTTAAAGGATGAAGGACCCTTAGCAAGAAAAGGACCAGAAAGCCAAGCAGACTGACCAGAGGGGCATTAGCTGATGGTGACACACAGCCCAGGCTGCAGGCCAGCCAAACCCATCCGCATGTGGACACCTTCTTAGGTTACATCAGCCTGAAATCCACCTGCTGGCTGGCTGACCTCACAGGGAAGGGTGTCTTGAGCCCTGGCACTGTCCCTGTAGAACATCTGGATGCAAACACCACAAACCCACACTTAGGTACAAAATCCACATGGACAAACAGAACAAAGCAGGGCAGTGAGACATGGATGTGTGACCTTAAACACATTTGTAGTCTCAAGTAACAACTCAAGGGAGAGTGAATGATTTCTATGCTTATACTCATTTGCTTTGTGTGTACAGGCTTGTTTAAAGCATAACTGGTATTTTACATGCTGCCCTTAACTGCAAGAACACTGCCTGTTCTCCAGACACACAGACACCACAAAACAGCCTGTTACATCCTGAATTCAGCACAGAGTACAGAAACTGTCAAGGAACAGGGTATCCCAGAGGGGGGATACAAACCTCCTCCACTACAAGAGAAAACGTTGAACTAGACACCCAAGAATCAACAAACAACATGACTCATTTCTAATTGTATCTGCCACTATGTACCAGCCTGGCTCCTGCTAGGATGTGGAGCAACTTTGTATATGTCAGCTGAAACAAAATTTTTTTTTTTGTTAAAACCCAAACATTTCTACTTAATGCCAACCGAAATTTTACAAGTATCTTCTCACTCCATGTTTTCTAGGACTAGGTTGAAGGGAAGAGACAGACATTAAATGCTTGAATTGTTTTCTTTTTTTAAAGATCTGAAATTAAGACATTTTCAGTTTGTCCTTGTTGAGCTGTGAACAGAAATAAAAGGCATAGCTGGGAATATACAGCTTCCATTGCCACAGAGGCCAAAAGGAGGGTAAGATACACAGCATCTCCCAAAAGAACACAGGAGACTTTTCTTCCCTGAGGTCATGGCACAGCTATAAGAAAACACACCTGACATCCAAATCTGTCCTGCACACAACTTTCTCAATAGCCCTGACCTGCAACTGTAGCTGACTCCTCCCTCCAACTCTGGTACCCAAAGAACTCGGCTCAGACAGTCCAAGCCGTTCTACAGCAAGACCTGGATCTCCTGTAACTATTAGCGTTTGCATGCTGACATGAATGGTAATACAGTGCTTAATAACAAACTCATTTCAAGCTTCAAACTAAGCCCTTCTCTTGCCTTTCAAAAAAGCCAGGACCATAGTGGGTTTTCACATTAATGGTCAGGAAAAGAGGGGCAGGAGAAGAAAAAGAAGCAATGATCCAAATAACGCTGAAGTTCAGCAACCTACCACAGCAACCCAAGCACTCAGATCCTGGCAGCCCTGCCACAACAGCTGACACCAGGGGCTGGCTATAACCACAGGTACCACTACAGGGTTGTATGACAACTCAGCACACAAATGTTTGCTAAGCTGAAGCACATCTTCATTAGAGAAAATCTTAGCACAAGTCCAGCAGAAACCTCAAGACATCTGATGAAATTAAAATGTTAACACATGACATGACTTTAGTCTGATAAGATTCTGCAGGAATGATGTATCTGGCTCCTGTAGACTGATAAGAACTTTCATTCCACTATATAGTGCCCTGTTTCACATTTTAGGATTCTGATTTTCTTTTAATCCCAAATTTAATGCACTAACTTTGGATAAACAAGCCTTAAAAGCGTCAAGATGAAAACTACTGTTGCTTAAAGTGTATGGGCATTGGTCCCACTAAGATGCTTTCTTATTCTTACATACTGTTGCTCTTGGTAGTCACTTAGTAGGGTTATGCAGTGACAAAAATTAAATTTGTCTGTACAGCCTTGTGGGATCAGGGCCAAACATGAAAATTTGCAGAGCAGATCAGGAGCAAGTTTGGGTTCCTTACACCAATGTAAACTCGAGTTTCTTCCCTTCCCTTACTTTGCAAGGCAGTGACCCTGTCCACTTCTGTGGATTCTCCAGCTAGCACACGTTCATTACCATGTAACAGAGACTCTCCTGTCAGGCCTATTTGATTGCAGAAGGTGTAACTCCACTGGCTATGTCTGAGGGCTTGCTCAGTAAAAGCAGCAATTTTACTGCAATGTAAGACGACCATGGCATTATGTCATACTCTGGGCTATTACAATAGAAAGGGATGTCAGCACCCTGTGCCTACACATCCTGGAGTCTGACTCTTCCGACGGTGAGCACCCAAATTCCTGCTGACACCGGGAGCCGGGTGGGCAAAACGAAAGCACAGGGCAGAGGGGAACGTCTTTCCAGAGGGGCACATGACTGCAGGCGTGTTTGTGCTGTAAATGCCAGCGCGGCCGCGCCCGGGCCCTCGCACACAGCCCCGCACGCCCGGGCGGGCAGCGCGGCCACAGCTGCGGGAAGCCCGGCCCGCCACCGCCCCGGAGGGGCTGGGGAGCTTGGCAGCCCCCTGCGGCCCCGCCCCGCCCGCGGCCCCGGGAGTGCCCGCATTTACCTGCTGCCCGCTCCGGGATTGCTCCGGGAGGGCTCCGGCAGGGCCCGGCCACCCCTCCTGCCGCCGCGTCCTCCCGCAAAGCCGCGGAGGCCCGGCCACCCCTTCCGGCCGCCGCGGGAAACGGCTCCGCCGCAACAAGGTTCCTGCCGCCGCCCGCAGCCCCGGGAGCGCCGGCGGAGCGCGGCCTCGGGCCCGCCCTGGGAACGGCGGGACAGCCGCCGCCCGGCCCTGCAACCCGCCGGAGGCTTACTGCCCCTCAAAATATAGCAATAGAAACACCCGCGGGTTTTCCTGTACGAGCACTAGGGGTAAATTTGCGCCTTTCCAAGTTTAAAGTGGCCGAGATTCTCGGGGAGCTGGCACTTGACTTCAGGAGTGATGGGAAGGGCAAAATCCTGGCTGGATTTTAAGTCCCAAGTGCAGGCACGCTTACCTGGGCGCGAAGGCTGCGGGGAGCAGCAGCACAGAGTATGGATCCATATCGCCACAGGGCAGCAAAAGGATCGCTGGCAGAACCTGTTACCCAAGGAAAAAAAGAATTACAAGACAATTACAAATGGCTTATTTAATACAGTCCGTAGCAGGGCACCCCACCCGGCAATACAGGCCCTGTAAAAATAACCTCATGGCAAGAAACAGCCATGTGCGGGTGAGAGGTGTACCTGGATTTTGACGTTTGGTACGTGCAGAGCAGTCCTGGGTAGCACCACGCACACGTTTAAACCCACGGGCGCAGTGGTGTTTCACCGGCTGCATCCCAGGGGAGTCGGCAGTGCAGTGCTGAGCAGCAGAGACGAGGTTAATGCTGAAATGTAACTGCATGAAGATGTGGTGCTGAACTGAATCCATAAAGAGGATTCACATTCCACAGCAAAAGGCAGGTGTTAGGTCAGCTTGCATCAGTAGTTTTTCTTCTCATCCTCGCAGAGCGACCACTTAGTGTCTACTGCTAAATCCAACTGGCACAATTAACAAAGTTGCATTTGTTTGGATTATCTCATTTCAGTGACAGTAAGGCTGAATGAGAGCGTTTGGCACAAAAAAATACCAGTTCATCTGATTGAAGATTAATTAATCTTAGCTTTTACAAATAGTATATTAGTAGACCACTATACATTTCAAGCCCTGCTCCTAAAGATGAATGGTTCCTTCAGTGGGTAAAAAGGATTGATCTTTTTATTCCAGTTCAATTGTATGCACTGAGATCTCACAAAGGAGGAGGCAGTATCATTACCTGCCATGTTACTTATCACCATCCAGCCTCTTCTCAAATTGTACTGAGACATTTGTCTCTGGGTCTCCTCAGAAGGAAAGGGACTCTCTAGGCCTCTTGGGTCTGATGATGTTTCAGAACTTTGCCTCACTGCCAGATACGAACTAAAAGTTTCCATTCCAGGTCTAACAAAATCGTGCAAAGAGTGTGCTCATCCATCACCTGTAGGGACACAAATGTCAGGGGAGGAGAGTAGGCAGCAAGTGTGTGCTGTATAGAAATCCATCCTTCCCTTGGTTCTGATTTCACTGCTGTTGAAGAGAAATTACCTCTGTTTAACATTACACTGAGACAGTTTTCTGGGAAGCAGCCCCTATATCATTTTTCACCTGCAGTGAGAAAGTGATTTCATACTGCAGAAGAACATAGATGTCATTGGTTTTTAGGGGAGGACAGCAAAGAAACTTTCTTCAAGATTGCTCACTCTTCTGCTCAAAAAAAAGTCTCCCAGAGTCACTTGACAGCCATGAATCTGGAAGGACAGCAAACATGTATGCTGGACCCAGAACAATCCCAGTTGTCTTGGCAGCCAAGGCAAGTCCCAGACTTTCAGTGCAGTCAGGCATTATTCCTGACCCCTGTCTTTCCTACAGCCCTAGCATGTCCCACCGTGCTCCTTGGGACCCCATGTGCCAAACACATCCAGGCACTACAGTGGAGTCCACTGTGCAACTCCCCCTGCCCCCAGAGTCCCAGGTCTGTAGGGAACACTGTGTTCCTCCAAGAAAGGAGGGGAACACACAGTGAAAATGGTTGATACTGGTCTCTTCCTTTTGTCCTTCTCAGCCTCCTAAAGAGCACTTTTGACAGCTCTAGATATTCCTATTTCTGTTCTTACATGCTGGAAACCCTTTGCAAAGGTATTGAGATGGGTAACACTTTCCATTTCCTAGGCAAAATGCAGTTAACATGCACCTTTGTTACAATGGCTGCTAGAGAACAGTTTGGGTTCAAGTTTTTAATTTTCCATTCTGTCTGAGAAGCGCTTTATAAATGATTGCCACCATTTTACTGACAAGAGGAAGGGATTCTGTACCTTTTCTAAGTCACATTTTTATATCTGTGATCTACCACATATCCCTCTACCACAGCCTAAAACAACTGAATCTGAGAACAGGTAACTACATTTCCTCCTTCTAGTCTGGTAAAGATTTCTCTTCCTGCAGTCTGTGTGCCAATAAAAAAAAAACCAATGACCAACATTATCCTTCAAAGTTGGATAACACTCTCTAATTCTGAAGAAATTTCACTTTGAAATTTTTTTGTTATTTATATATATCTATAAATATATATATAGACATCTTTAAGAATGAAAGTTCCAGATTTTGCAATTTTCATTGTTTAAGTATATCTCTGTCCTACAATATGAAATCATGAGTTGTTTGCAGCAAGGTATACTGGTTAAAGACACGGCTGTGGCTATCTATGAGAATCTTCCACACAGCTTGACTTCAAGCTTTGTCCCCCTTTTCACAAACCTGACCCAACACTGAACAGAGTACACGGAGCCAGCTGTGCGAATGAACAAACTGTGCCCTACTTGTCCATATGACGAAGACGTAAAGGAACTCATCTTCCCGCTACTTGGAATGTCTCAAATGTCAGCTTTTCACTAGTTTTTAGATCATGGTTCTGCAAGTTTAGACAGTTAACACTGAAAGAGGGAGAAAATTACTCTCTGCTTACACTAGAAACTTATCTGCTTTCCTTGTGGGAGAGTTTGCAGGACCAAGAGCTCTTTAGATCTGAACATCTTCCACAAGTACTGCAGAATTATCTTCCAAAGACCAGATCATTGTACTACGTATTCCTGAGCTTGACAATAAATATCCAAACATCTTTCTCAATCTGAGAAACTCTTAAGAACCCTTTGGGCACATCCTTTGCTGGCATAATGTGAAAGGAGCGATGCCCATTTATTGTGGCCCTAACAAACTTGACAGCTCATACCAGCTGAGCATTACACCCACTGTCTTCCCACCGCTGCCTCTGAAGAAGTGGCCTTTTTTCACACATTTTAATTACTGACTCCCTACATAGAAGCTATTACCTCACAGAAAGGCCATTAACTGGCACGTTCAGCACAAGATGAAGCCTTTCTGATAATTGTTCCTTGAGTTCATATTTGTGAAAATAAATATCATCAGATGATTAAATTAAACACTGCAGCCAGCCCAGCTATACACTATTTTCACTTATGATGCAGAAGGGGAGATCAAAGAGAAAGGCCCAGGTAGAGTTATCCCAATTCCTCCAAGTTTGGTTGATAATACCTATTGAACATGCTAATTAGATTCCTCCTTGGGGTATGCAGCAGAAAATTAACCCTTCCAAAATTGGGCGGTATGGCCATTTTCATGCTCTGTAATCATCTGGATGCAGAGGGATGATTGTCTCATCTCCTCTGTATAATAAAGCAGCAGCACAGCCTGATTCCGATTTTGGAGACTCTTGGGCCTCCACTCCATCCACTTTGGTATCTTGTGTGGGCGCGAGGAGAGCTGTGCCCGGGGAACATGAGGAAAGGCTGGAGGCACTCCAGTCCTGCGGGGTTTCTGCCTCCAGCTCTTCCCTTTTGGTGAGCAGACATGCCCGTGTCTGCGCTACTGCAACGAGGAGTAACACGGTTCTCTCAAGCGCCCTGGCACAGCCACTGTTTAAATAGGGAGATTGTTTCCGAGATGGAGTTTCGCCCAGCACTTCCCTGCTTTGCTTCCTTGGGCCGTGGAGGGCAGGAGACGCGAGCGCAGCAGTGGGCAGCGTAGTCTGTTCCCACTGCGAGCCCGCTGTCCTCCCGTGAGCGCACACACCCACACAACCAGAAAGCTCTGCTATTCTTCTGCTAATGGGATTGGCACCGCTTAAAGCAGTCTGCGAGGGTATTGTCTGCAACCACAGCAAGAGAAACATTATTCAAAGGCTATTCAGGCCCCAAAAGAAGCGGCAGAGCAGAGTAATTATCGGAGACTCTCCATTAACGAGGGCATCTTTGCTCTTTGTCTGTGTTGGTTTAATAAGGGCCACTAATGGGGCCGGGGGAGGGGCGCACTAATGCTTCTAAACAAACCTCCTTCCCTTCCCCACCCCCGCACTGTGAGGAGAGCTGCCTTTATGGGCACTGACAGCCGGGTTGGGAGTTACCATATTGCAGAGTGACCTTCGGGAAAACTTAGTGTGAACCCAGCCGCTTTCAGCCCCATCCCCACCGAGCCGCTGGGAGCATCGTTTGGGTAGCTGTTCTCTTTATAGCTTTTCCATATTTCCCGGTGCTTGCCAGACCGTTTTGTACACCCCCCGCCCGACCTCTCTCATGTCATCTTGTGACCCTTCATGGCTGGACACGACGGCACTGAGTGGCAGTAATGAGGGACGACAGTGCAGATTAAGTTCTCGCAGAAAAACCCGGGGCTGCTGTCCATTATCCAGCAGCTGTGACTGGGAGATGCTGCTGGGAAGGCAGGACTGGAGCCGCCTCCCCTTCCCACACTGCTGGAGAAGGCAGGCTGGCATGTCTCCTACCTTCTGGCTGTGGGCACTTTTCTGGTGATGAAGAGATGAACTGAGGCAAAAGTGCACATGAACTTCTATCCCGAGATTCCTCAGGGCCACTTTCAGGAGAAAATTCTTCTGGGGACTCCTAGACTGTCCCCATCTTCAACCACCAGTTGTAAGGGGCCAGTTTTTGAGTTTGCAACATTCCAGGGTCAGATGCATGCTGGTCACTCTAACAGGGAAATGCGGACAAGAGGTCTCAGGAGGTCTCTGCAAAAGGCAGCATTCAAACCATGACCTGTAATGGTACACACAGATTGGAATAATGAACCACACAGCCTTTTCCAAGGTGTTGATACAAGGTTGAGAACTGCTATACTCACTTCTAGCCAATGAGGAATCTAAGGAACAATAAAAGGAAATTATTCCTCCAAATTTGGGCAGGTCTTTTACTGAAGCCAAGCCCTGGGTACCGTGTTACTCTACAAATGATGCACTCCTAACAGATGTTTGTACCATACAACCAGTGCATGCACTGCAGAGCAAAGCAGTGCCTGTGTACCTGGATGTGTGCAGGGCAGCAGTCTCAGGAACCTCATTGATGAGCCTCTTTTGATTTTATCTCGCTGAGGTAAGGAATGACAAAAAATCTCTGTTCAGGCACCCACGCAGTCCTCTCCACTTAAGCAAATGTCCTGGTGCTAAAGGTTTATCACAAGCAGCAGAAGAAAGATATGTGGAAACTCCTCACTGCTTAAACCACATCACTCCAGTTTGAAGAAACAGACTCCACACAGGACTTCACCCTTGTTTCCTCACGGCTTGGTAGTTTTGAAATTTTCATGATTTCAGCCTTTTCCTTTCAACATTTCACCAGTAACTGCATCTCTTGTAACAAAAGCAACTTTTCATAGGTGCTCCTCTGACTCACCTCTATAGGATCAAAACATAGAACAATCTTGCAAGTCAAACAAAGAGCAATCACCCTTTACACACAGAGAGCTGTCACAGTGAAATTAAATAATACCTGAGGTCATTCTTGCCATGGCAGAGCTAGGAAGTGGATACAGTTCTGTCTCCCGAGTCTTACTGTAGTGTACCAAGATCAGTGGTATTTCTTTTCCCTCTTTTGAAATGTCTGGAGGATTACACTCCTGAAACAGAAAATCCATCGTATTTTCAGTATTTCATTCTTAATGTTAATCAATTTTTGTTCATTTTCTTTTTTTTCTTTTTTTTCTTTTTAGAAGGATAATCATTGAGCATACATAAAGCAATGGATTACTAGGAGCACACAACCTGGCCTCTGATTGATGTGGGTTTTGCTTTATAAGTGTTTTTAAAAGTCCTCCTTCTTTGCCACCAGCAGATAATACTGTCAGCTTTGTTGCAGATGAAGACAATATTTTGAACAAAAACAAAATAGTAACTCAGAAGGGAGAACTGAGGTCTCCCTGATGCAAATCAAGGGGAAATGAATGGAAAGATGAAAACAAGTTGGCTTATAACTGAGAAGAAATGGGTACCCCAGAAAAAGTCATTGCAGCATGTAAAGGAGGGACAGCCACATCAGACAGATTTGTCATGAGAAAGGGCAATTTTGAGACCTGGCATGAAGGAAAGCTCAGTGAGCACCTTGAGCTGGCAGGCTGAAATGAGATGGTTCTGTAGAAGGGAGGAGAGCTTGCAGCCCTCTGTCTCCCAGTGACAGAGACAGGATGGGCAGTGAGAGGGTAGTGGATCTATTTCTTGGAATTTCAGCCAGAACAGCACAGCTGAAGGTAAGGCATCAAGTACAAAAGAGATAGAAATACAGCAAGTAAGGTCTTGGAAGCAAAGCTTCCGTCTAAGAGCCATCACCTTGCCTGCAAGTCTTTGTCCAAATAGTTCTCTTTCAGGTATAGTTCCCGCAGAGAGCAGAGAATGACTACATTGGACCTCATCAAGTCAGTTCTATTTAGATTTGCTCTTTAACACCTATAGTTTAATACAAGGATATTTCTTCCCTGCTTTTCCTTTTTTTTTTTTTTTAATTATTAATTCTGCTAGCATTTGAGGCCAACAGACAATGACTGTAAGTGGATTCCTTCCAGGCTGCTCTGCTTCACTGTACTGCCATTAACTTGTCACGCTTCAAATAACTATCTAACTGGGATCTGATCTGAATCCCACTAAAACAATGAAAAGACCTGCATTGGCTGTGCAGTTTTGGATTGTGCCCTGAATTGTGTTTGAACTCATTTAATGTAGATTTGAGCCATTTATTCAATTGCACCCGTGCCTTGAAACCCAGGGGAAATTGAACAGGAGTAAAATATGCATTTGCAGAAAATCTTTTATGTGTGTTTGCAAGCAGAAGACGTACTGAAATATGGGGCAGGAAGCAGCTATTAATCTCTGCAAGTACATCCCGGTTTAGTTCAATGCAACTTCCCTGCTTTGTCTTCATATCCTTTGAGCTTTTCTTTCTCTACAAAGCAGGTCTTGCTTTGCCAGCTTAGCAAAAACCTGTCCCTCTAATGCCCTCAGCTGGTGCTTCCTGCTCCTGCCCTCTCCTTTTCATTCCTGCAGGCCATCGTCCTGGCCAGCAGCAGTCATACAGAGAGGTATTCACTCACCTAAAAAAAATCCAATGCGCAGGCTGGAAGGTGGAAAGACCTTCCCCGGTTCTTCGTTCGCGAAGACACTGGCCACACACTCACTTAGCAGCCAGGTAGACCAAGGCCCCTCAAGAACAGGGGGCACAGTAACAATTATTTGACATTTTTGCCTCTCCAAGCAGCTGCATTTGGAAAGGTTTAAAGGCAGGAATGCCAGATTAGGATGGTGACTTTCTGCCTTTACTCCTCAGGTATGCCATGGGCTTCCTGTGTGAGTTTAGGCAAGCTACTTTTGTCTCCACATCTCCACTTCCCTGTTCAGAACGGGGAATGTTGCTGTAAGGGTACATTTGAGAACACAAACTTTACACTGATAGGGACTGAGAAATTAAGCTGTTCATGAACTCATGTCCTGACCAGTCTGATGTGGCTTCTATATCCAAACAATCCAAGGACTGGGATCACCACAGCACTATTCAGCCTCCCCACTTTATGGGTATATAGGCAGCCTTGAGGGATGAAGTTGAATGTTCAGTACTCTCATTTCCTGATATGTCTTTTGTGCTGCTCCACCTGCCCACAAACTCTCCCCGCCTGTCTTTGCTCCAGGCCCATCTTTCTCCTTGTCCCAGCCCCACCCAGTTCCTTGGCCTTTTGTGGCCTGTTTTGGTCCATGGTCCATGGTTTCTTCAGCTTCCCCGTCATAGGCATTGACCTTATTCTGGTGTCAGAACATTGCTCATTCTCCCTGTGAAGTCTTTAATACAGCAGACAAGAGCAATATCTATGACAGGAGAGGCAGCTCAGTGCAGAGATTCCCCTATCCAGCACCAATCCTGCCAGCTTTGGGACTGGGAGGAGTAGTGACACCTCAGTGCTGTGCAACACTGCACTCACCTGCCTGTGGCACCATGCCAGCAGCATCCTGCACCCACAGCCTAGAACAGTCCCTCTGCAGAGCAGCACAACCGTGTGGAGCCTCCAGCCAACTCAAGGGTCTTTCACATGCCTCGGCTTGCCTGCAATGTGGAGACAAGCCTATGTGAGCTCCTTGCCAAGCAGAAAATGCTGTGGGAAGAAAATACTGAAGCTGGAGTGAGATCAATGAACAGATATTATACAGCATTAACTTCCACCTCAATTTCCCTGGAAAGGTTTGGATAGAGAGCCCTGACACTGATCACTCAGGAAGTCTGAGATGCTAAAGCTTTCACAATGTAATTTGCTGACTCTACCTTAAAAAAAAGTCTGTAACTCCTGACCATTTATAGTTGTTCCTGCTAGACTCTTACTGGTTTCCTCCTCAGAAGTTACAGCCACACTTTCAGTGTCTGCCTTTGCCGTAGTGACTTCATCTTAATGCTAATTTGATTAGTAAGTAGCAGAGCAGGGAAAGAAGCAAGATTTAGTTGTTGCTGCATTCCTGTGATCTCTGGCTGATGTTTTAGCCTTTCAGTTAGTTATTTAGCTGCAGTTAGATGTAAGTTAGAGCAGGGTACTTTTTCTCTCTGATATGAGGAACAAGAACACAAATTTGACCATAAACGTCTGTATACTTTCCCCATAGCTTGCAACTCCTACACTGTCCTGAGAGCTAAAATCCTCTTTACTCTACATATCTATCACCATATTCATGTTCCAAGTACATCCAAGAACAGGGTCAACCTGAACAATATGTGTTATAATAGATAATAGTCTCAGCCATTTTCATTTTAACTTCTAAAGTTAGGGCACAAATAAAAACAAGTTAAAAACACTGACAGAATTAACAGGGAATCCAGCTAAATAAAAAGGATGCATTCATGTTAATGGGGTGAACCTCTTAGATGATTAAGGAACATAAGTTTGCCTTGACCAGGGGAGTCTCTACCGCGTCACCTATAAGAAAATAAGTAACAGCTTTTTTGGTACTCATGGCATCCTGTAAGAGTAAAGCCCTAGCAGTCTAGCTTTATGCAACTGTTACATGATACCAAAAGAAAAATTTCAGCCCTCTGTACCCAAGTTCACCTTGAAGAGTGCTGAAGTATCTTCTATTGCACAAATTAGACTGAGCTGCAAATCAACACTTAGGAAGTCTGTAGTACTTGAGCTTAGGTATCTGTGAAGTCAGTGCCATTGTAATGCCTTCCCATCTTCAGCCCTTTGCAAGAGCCCCCTTGTATGGCTTCCCAAACAGCATCTATTCCACCAGGACAGCATATTTCTGACAGTAATATTCCACTGAAATACTGTGACTGGCATTTGAGTGATTATTTTGTATCATATCTAACATCCATCTGTCTATACTATCCTTCCTACCTGACATATTGTACTTTCCCCACCATGGCTATTCTGATGAAGAGTAGACTAAAGGCTTTACTTTGATGTTGGCCTGACAGTACCTAAAAGCCCATCGGAAGGACACTGGTCCCTCCTTGCTGATGTGGAAGTAAAGAGAAAAATCATGACACTGGCCACTTCTCATCCCTGAACTGGAGAGGGGCAAAAAAGCCTCACACTTCCATCCATTAGTATTGCACTTGTTCACCTTGCATTAAACACTTCGCATTTACAACGAGCTAAGTTAGAAGCAGAACAGTTCAGTGTGTGCAGGTGACAATGTTAGAAGCCCACGTTGGTTCCAGCCCCAGCTCCCCTTGCCGGAGCGTGTGGCCGGGAATCACTGCCCTCTCCCGGGCACAGCTGCCCCCACACAAACACCGAGCCCCGCTTGCCAAAACTCTGCACAACAAGTTTGCTTCGCCTCGGGCACTGGAGGAGTATGATTGACTACTTACTGTTGCCGTGACAATTGAAATAACCTGAGCATCACAGTGACAGCTGAGCTACCTCTGAAAGAATAAGGATTTGCTGAAATATAATTGAACAGGATACAGGTAGTGCTCACTAGGATTTGTAATCCACACATCAAGAACTCTGAGTAATGAAATGGCTGTAATGTAAATTAAAATTTGCTCTGATTATGCAAAGTTATCTTAACTAATATATTTAAGCTAGTTCATTTCAAATGTGGCTGCATTTCAGCTGCCAAAGACCACAGCTTCTGGTGGCTAATGTGCTTTCATTAGCCTGCCCTGTTACAGTGACAGGTTCCTAGTGCAGACAAACAAGGAGACGGGGAAAGAATCAGCCAACATGTTTCATGATGTTTCCTTGTGCTTTCAAGTCACCTCCTGGCTGCTCTGGAAAATTTCCCTTTTAGTACTACTTTGTACATACATACATATATATATATATGTGTGAGTGTGTATGTATATATATACATTTATGTGTACACACACATCCACAAGGGCTCCCTGTATTATAGCCCCCGTGTATTCACAGGGATATGAGAGCTTATTTCCTCCAAGGAAGTTGGGAAAATAAATCCAGCCATGACAGAGGTGCTCAGATATAGCTACAGCATTTCATTATCTGAGTATCTCTGAAAGCCATGTGTAATTTCCTAAGCAGATACACTCAGCCCTCCTAATTTTGCCAGT